CTGGAATCGGTCGAATCGGTGTATTCGAGGAAAAATTAACGCCTGGGCGGAGTGTGGGGGTATTCAGCGGGCATGCTTTTAAATAACAGATACGTAGCGTAAGCATCACGGAATATTTAAGTACCATTCACACAGATCTTTAAAGTTAATTTCTTTATTTAGGTGTCATCAATTGTCATCGAATAACGCCTAAAACTTTCAAAAGTGTGCATTCGTTCAATGTTGCACACCTGATATCATTTTTACCTCTGTTTGCGAATTTATAATACTCAATTCTTTTTTCCCTCTTCTGTACATAAGTTACAACTACGCTATTGCGCGCGGATCGTCCGGCAAAAATTCATTACAATCGAATGGTAACATTCCGAGTTAAAGCGGACAAACGTGGCCTTTTTCCAAGGCATACTGACGTACGTTGTTCCATCACTGTGGCAGCTGACTAAGGTTTAATTAATTTAACGGCAAAGAAAAAAAGAAGAGTATTTTCTTAGTTTCACTTTTAGGTTTACTGACATGGAATCGATATAATGTTATGCCGTGTTCAAAACAACTGGTAAGAGGCTCGAGAATTTACAAATGGAATTAAGGCCCAGTTCAGACGTGGTGCTTCTGCCGTGCCGAACTGAATTGCAATTAGGTTCGACTGTAGCACAGTAGGGAAACAACTCTGATTCAGACGTCGTACCAGAGTCGAACCAAATTCAGGATATACTGATGCCTCGCAACAATTGTCCTACTAATTCCCCGTGGGAACGCAATCTCGCCAAAATTCATTAATATAATTTTTTAAATTTTTTTTTAGCCCGGCAGAAGCGCGACGTTTGAATCGCTGCCGTGCCAGAGTCGTGTAGCACGGCAGAGCTTGTCGAACTTAATTGCTTGCTGAACTTAATTTAAAAGTTTGATTCAGACGCCGTGCTTCTGCCGTGCTTTTGTCGAACTTAATTCCTGAATTTAGTTCGGCACGGCAGAAGCACGACGTCTGAACTGGGCCTAAGACTCGTTTCAAAATAAATATCTTGTTTAAGACAAATAATCTGGGGCTAGTTTATAATGCAATCAACTATTAAAATGGTTCTCAATGAGGGCAAAAGAAGAATGGCTGTGAGAGGATTTGGAGTAACTGACACCGAGGCAGTTCGCATGAAAATATTGGGCGCACCCGTCGCAGCCCACCCAGTCTTCTCCGTCATCATCTCGGCAAATCTTGCATAAAT